TGAAATGGAAACGGTAAATATAGGCAAGATATAAATCATATATCATTAACCAGATTAAGAAGCAATAATAATGTATGTCTAAGACACCAAAAACAGACATTAAGATTGCCAAAATATCAAAAACTTAATCTAGTTATAAAATGACATATATACATCAACTTTATATCACAGTTATCAAAAAATCATTATCTGCTCCAATATCTATGCAATCTACTCCATATCAACTCAATCAATCTACTCCCCCTTTTTGTCACAAAGGGCCAAAGAAAAGCTAAAGCAACAAAACGAACTAAGAAGCAGCATCTCTAGCACTGGAAGAATCAGAACCACTCTCAGCACTCGTGCTCTCCTCCAAATGATCTCGAATCCAGTGCAACTGACGCTGACAGACAGCAAGAGCACGGCGAAACGTAGACATCTCAGCTGACTGACACTCCGAAGTAGCACGTAATTGCGTGATCTCAGCTATCATACGAGCCTGCTGCTCGATCAGTGTAGACATCTGACCCAGAAGCGGCACCATGGGGTCAACGGACAACGTAGCCACCCCAGGAACAGAAGTAGATGTCGAAGGACGGGAGGAGCTGAGCGGAATAGCCAAATGAGGAGCGGGACGAGATGGAAGGAATGCCCGAGAACCCCCAGTAAGTATATCAAAAATAGGATTGAGGGGCTCAGAACAATCAAAAGCATCAACAGCTGCAGCCGCCACTGTAGCCTGAGCAGAAGAAGAGGAAGACGGAATATGGGAACAAATCTGATGAATAGTCTGCTGTCCAATCGGACGTCCTATGCGACGAGTTGAACCCTCGGGGAATGAAGCACCCAAAAATAAAGCAACCCTATGAATCAAGCAGGCATAAGGTAACCCGATCTGACCCCCCGGAGTACGAAACGAAGCCAGAATCTGCTGGCAAACAAAGCTGGGTAGGTCAATCGAGTCCCCGCGAAGGAGGGCATAGAGAAAGCGGGCCCGCCCCATGGGTAAGGAAGAAGTATGGGCTACGGGCCATAGGTTTGTGCACACAATACGCAACAAAACCTGGCGATCAGTGGGAAGAGAACCCATGGCCATCGCCGTAGGCCCCCCGACAGACGGGGTGTTCAAAATCGTCGACCGAACAAGGGAGTCGGCCGGAACAGCAGAGGGTAAAATATAGGGGTACGTAGGATGGGTAATCTCTGGTATACCTAAGACCTGAGCTACGGCAGAAGGTGTAACCCTAAAAGAATGACCCCGCAAAAATACCCTAAAGGATGACCCGTCAATATCGTGGATATTCGCATAGAATTCCTGAACTAGGAGAGGGGATGGAGGTGATAGACCAACAAGCAAAGGCTCCCAACCCTGAGACACTAAGATGGCAGCTATATCTACGGGAAGGTCAGACAAAATTACCTTACGCTCCACGAGAACGGGGCGTAAGGAGAACTGGGAAGTGAAGACCTCCTGGGCTGTAGTAGAAATGAACCTCGATCGACTGTAAGAGGTCGAACCACTAGCCGGCTGGGAAGAGGGACGTGATCGCTTACGGGCCATCTGGCACACGTAAAGAGGCAAGAAATGAGTCACATGAAAAATGCACATGAAACGATGCAACGTGTCATGACACACCGTGCACACAAATGAGGCACAAAAGTGATAAAACGTGATCGACCCTAAGAGCAAAGTCATCACGACTCGAAACCCAACTAAGAATATGCGTAAAGCCACAACGAAGCAAAAATGGAATGAGAAAAATACCCAAACAACCCTAAGGAAACAAGAAAATAGCTAGGGCATTGCATCGAACACGTGGCGTGCGCCCCTTCGGCACGAATTCCCAAGCACACACGAGACGCACCCATGCAACCAAGCACAACTCCACAAACTAGGTAACATGCTCTTCAAAATGAAACAAACCACATGCAAATCGGAGTTACGGAATGTAAGAACGAAGTCGACGAACATGGAAGAAAAAACAAGAAACACACTTAAAATAACCAACAAAGAATCACACAGTGCGAGCTAAACTTTGAATAAAAGTACGAGAAATGGCAATCCATGAATCAAAGAGATGCAAGAGGCACAGAATCCATAAGAATTAAGCAATGATGCTCACAAAACCGAACAAACATGCAGAAAATGTAAAAACACAAAAAAAGAAGAAAAACTACCTCAAATGATGTTCAAGATGGAATTTTGATGTTGAAATCAGGTTTAAGTGCTTCGAATCGATCAATTACCAAGAATATTTGAAGAAATTGCAACACAAAAGAAGAAATGTATGTAAATGTAGGGAGAAAAATGAAAAAATAATGCGAAAATGAAGAATCAGAATTCAAATACCCACACTGTCGCTCGAGCGAGACGACAGCGAGACTCGAGCGAAAACAACACTGTTATTTTCGCTCGAGCGAACGGCACGCGAGCCTCGAGCGAAAACTCAAATTTCAAAAATAGCACCACAATTTTGAAATTTTTTTTTTAAAAAAATGGCAGAACTCTTAGAAAATTACAAAATTAACCCCGAATTTCAAAATTTTGAAATGTGGAACGAAACGAAGTATGTAACCGAATATGCAATCGAGCCCAACAATAAGCATAAAGTCACAAACCCAATAATCAGCATATATACAAAACGTAAGTCCACACAGAGATCAAATTACCATGGAGTAAAGTGTATACAGACTAACACCGTGAAGAGTGCCACGTAGTCCATGCAAGCGAGACTCAAAACCTTAAATTAGTGAGAAAGGACATATGAAAACAACCAAACAAAGGTGTATGTCGACCAAGTGACAATCAAATCCAATACCACGAGGACCCAAATCAAATAATACGATTGTCATACTTTTACTCCCCCTAACTGAATGATCTCATGTCTTTTTTTTTTTTTTAACAAACAAACTTAAGTGCAATGCTATCCTCATTAGGCGACATAGATGACCCCCGTAACGAACGTTGGGCCGGTGACTCTCAAGTCAGACGACCTTAGGGCACCAGGTTAAAAACCTCTCGGGCTTAATAGTTCGAGTCAAATAGGCCCCGAAAATAGTCAAAAGTTCGACAAAATACAATAAACGTGGGGAAAGACAATATGATTAGGTGACACTCGTCCCAGATCAAGTCAAATGGACACACAATCCTAAGCATAGAAGATCACCATCCCAAGTCTCACCCAAGCGGTCAAGACTCACATACAGGACTACAGTGTGTGCTGTGCAAAGATGAATGATGAGCCATATACCCAAAACTCCACAGACAACATGAACAATGATGGAACCTTAGACTCGTACATATGATGAATAATAGAGTTAGATTCTAAATGCAAATGCCAGAATTGAGACATAAAAGGCACACACATGAAAAATCCCTTTTCTTTTTTTTTTATACATTTAAACACACAAACAAAAACAGTCAATGAAGATGAAACAAACAAACAAAAATGCATCACACATACATAGGTCACATGCAAAGTACGAAGTGACTAGGTGCAAATGTGATGCAAGCATGAATATGCAAGAACCCATGATCAAATAGGTGAGCTAACACCAACAGCCGTCCGAAGCGACTCAAACCTCAACCCATCTAGTGGTTTCGTAAGTAGATCAGCCAATTGATTATCAGTAGAGACATGGTCAAGAGAGACAACATGTGATTCAACAAGCTCTCGAATGAAATGATGTCGTATGTCATTATGTTTTGTTCGAGAGTGCTGAATGGGATTCTTAGAAATATTTATCGCACTCGTATTATCACAGAAAACAGTCATTGTCCCTTGGCTAATACCATAATCACTAAGCATTTGTTTCATCCAGAGAAGCTGAGTACAGCAACTCCCTGCAGCTATGTATTCGGCCTCTGCCGTGGATAAAGATATTGAATTTTGTTTGTTACTTAGCCAGGCTACGAGATTGCTACCCATGTAAAAACAACCCCCAGTCGTACTTTTCCTATCATCTGCATTTCCGGCCCAATCGACGTCAGAGTATCCAGCCAAATCAAGATTGGAATTCCTAGAATAGAATATCCCTAGATCCACTGTACCACTGATATACCTGATTATGCGTCTAACAGAGCTTAGGTGTGACTCTTTTGGATCTACTTGAAAGCGAGCACACACTCCTACACTAAAGGTAATGTCAGGCCTAGTAGCTGTGAGATAGAGAAGACTACCTATCATGCTACGATATAGGGAAGGATCTACACTCTCACCAGAAGGATCACGACCTAACTTTAAGCTAGTACTCATCGGTGTCCTAGTATGCTTCTTACTATTTAACCTAAATCGCTTAACGAGATCCTTAGCATACTTAGACTGTGAGATAAACAGTCCATCCTTTGTCTGTCGTACCTGAAGTCCAAGGAAATAACTTAACTCCCCAACCATACTCATCTCGAACTCTCTCTGCAGACACTCAGCAAACTCAAACGCTAAAGACTCAAGAGGAGACCCAAAAATGATATCATCGACGTAAATCTGAGCAATGGTAAAATTTTCTTCTATATGTCTAATGAATAAGGTCTTATCTGCACCACCTCGAGAGAACCCATCTTCTTCCAGATATGATGTAAGTCTCTCATACCAAGCTCTAGGAGTTTGCTTCGAACCATAGAGTGCTTTGTGAAGTTTGTAGACATAGTGGGGAAATTTTGGATCAACAAATCCCTTAGGTTGTTCCACATATACTTCTTCCTGAAGAAGTCCATTCAAGAAGGCGCTCTTAACGTCCATTTGATGCAACTTGAACCCTAAGGTACATGCAATAGCAAGCAGAATCCTAATAGACTCAAGTCGTGCAACGGGGGCAAAAGTCTCATCAAAATCAATCCCCTCAACTTGAGTATACCCCTGAGCAACTAATCTCGCCTTATTCCTAGTTATAGTACCTTGGTCATCTGTCTTGTTCTTAAAGATCCACTTGGTACCAATAGCATTACAATTTTCAGGTCTGGGAACTAAGATCCACACATTATTCCTAGCAAATTGATTTAGCTCCTCATGCATCGCATTCACCTAACACTCATCACTAAGGGCCTCTTCAACTTTCTTAGGCTCTACCTGAGAAACATAGCTAGTGTACGCTAGATTGTTCAGTACTCTCCTACGAAGTCTCATCCCTTCATCTAGATCCCCAATAATATTATCCTTAGGATGACTAGACTTAACCCTAGTCGATGGTTCCTTAGGATTTTTATCTAGATTTTGTGGAAGTGTTTCCTTTTCAGATGTTTCAGGTTTCTTACGAGACGATTCAGGCATAGGTAGCTCAGTAGGATCACTTGAACTCAAAAGATCACCATCGTTATCACATTTTTCACCACTCTCCCCCTCACTCACAGCATCATCTATCACAACATTTATAGACTCTATCACCACACGGGTACGTAAGTTATACACTCTAAATGCTCGGCTATTCCTAGAGTACCCTAGGAAGATCCCTTCATCACTCTTTGATTCAAACTTACTCAAGTTCTCTCTATCCCGCAAAATGTAGCACTTACTCCCAAATACTCGAAAATACTTAACAGTAGGCTTTTTACCCTTAAGAATTTCATACGGGGTCTGATCAGTCTTGGGTCTAAGGTAGACTCTATTGATGATGTGGCATGCAGTGTTAATAGCTTCTCCCCAAAAGTGTAGGGCTAATTCCTTGCCATGAAGCATGGCTCTAGCCATGTCCTGAAGGACACGATTCTTCCTTTCAACTACCCCATTTTGTTGCGGAGTGATAGGGGAAGAGAACTCATGCAATATCCCTTCGTCCATACAGAAATTCTCAAGATTAAAGTTCTCAAACTCTTTTCCATGGTCACTACACATCCTAGACACTTTGAGATTCAGTTCATTGCTAAGCCGTTTACACAGAGACTTTATGAGATCACAAGCATCAGATTTTTCTCTAAGCAATTCTATCCAAGTAAACCTCGAGAAGTCGTCTACCACGACAAGACTGTATTGCTTACCACCTAAACTCTCAGTCCTAGAAGGTCCCATCAAATCCATGTGTACCAACTCCAGGGGTCTTTTGGTCATAATTTTAATAGTCTTCTTATGGCTCCTCTTAAGTTGTTTACCTAGTTGACATGGTCCACACACAACATTTTCACTAGGAACTATCTTAGGCAACCCATCTATCAATTCTTTCTTAGCCAACTGCTCTAGACTCTTATAGTTCAAATGACCTAATCTTTTGTGCCAGAGCTCACTCACATCAATTTTAGCACTCCTACACACATAGTTAGAATTAGGTAATACCCCATAACAATTGTCAGATGTTCTAACCCCTTCAAGGACTACCCCACCGGATGAATCATACACGGTACATCTCTTCTGCACAAAACTAACCTCAAAGTCGTCATCACAAATCTAACTAATGCTTAACAAATTTGACTTTAAACCTTCCACATAAAGCACATTAGAGATCACAGGTAAACCATGCATTGTACAGTACCTTTGCCAAGAATAGGTGCAGAGCCCCCATCTCCAAAGGTAACCATACCACCATTACATTCATCAAGAGTAGTGAATAGAGCTTTATTACCACACATATGCCTAGAACATGCACTATCCAGGTACCACATATTAGAATTTTGAGCTTTTAAAGCAACATGAGCAACAAAACAGTTTTCTTGACCTGAAAGTCTACCTAGATCACCCTTTTTGACCCAAACCTTTTTAGATGACAAAGTACTCTTAGTTAGCTTAGTAAGTATCTCAGTCAAATGACTAACCTGATTAGACAGTCTTGATGTTCCTATGTGATTGATGACTCTGTTCCCTAGGAACACTCTTACCCTTACTTGGACTCCTAACAGCATTAGACTTAGAGGCAGACACAAAGACAGTCTTAGATGGTCCAGCAACATGTGTATTACCCTCAACATATCCTAGACCTCTCTTATCTCCCATTGGCTTATTCATTCCCAACAGGTTATCCAATTTATTAGTTCCACTTATGAATGTCTGAAGATGAGCATTAGATTTCTCCAATTCACTAGTCAAACTCTTAACCTTGTCTTCCAATTTCTCATTGACACACTTTAACTCACTACCACTCTTAAGTGAGTCCTGAAGCTTACTACCCAGTTTCTCTTTTTCCCTTTCAAGTTTGTCAACCTTTTTAAGTAGGGCTTTATTGACCTTCTTTATTTTAAGACTCTCCTTAAACAACAGTTGATAAGCTTCTTGTAAGTCTATGTCATCCTCATCCTCATCCTCATTACCAGAATTATCGTTTGAATGTTCTTCCTCAACCTTGTCACTTTCCTTATCAGATTCACTCTTAACAGTAGCCACAAATGCCATATAATTTCCTTCATCATCACTATTAGAGGATTCCTGCCTATCACTGGTCTCAGATTCATTTTCAGTAAGTGAGACAACTAAGGCCCTATCTTTCCCTTTTCTTTGATTTTTCTTATAGCTAGGACACTCATTCCTATAGTGACCTATTCCTTGACACTCATGACATCTAACCAAACGTGGCTTCTCACTTGACCCTTTATTGTTAACTTTCTCAATTTTATCTTTTGTGAATCTGCTAGGGGCTCCACTCTCTCTATCCTGAGGCTTTCTCCTATTTTTGAGGACTTTTTGAAATTTCTTAACAAAGTATGCGATTTCCTCATCCCTAAGTGACTCAGTATCAGAAGATTTATCTTCTTTAATGGATTTCAGGGCTATGGACTTTCCTTTCTTATGTTGTAAGATAGTGAGTTCATAGGTTTGCAAGGATCCTACCAATTCTTCGATCTTAACTTCATCTAGGTCCTTACTTTCCTCAATGGCAGTGACTTTAGGCCTAAATCTCTCAGGCAGAGATCTAAGTACTTTTCTCACAATCTTAGTCTCAAGAATTCTCTCACCTAGGTTGAAACTAGAGTTAACTATATCATTTAATTTAGCGTAAAACTCATCAAAGGTTTCATCATCTTTCATCCTCACTTCTTCAAACCTAGAGGCTAGCATTTGCAATTTTGAGTTCTTTACTATCTTAGTTCCCTCATGTGTAGTTTCGAGAATGTCCCAAACCTCTTTAGCAGTTTCGCACATAGACACTCTCCTAAACTCTTCTGGAGATAGAGCCATGAATAATGCATGAATTCCCTTACTATTCCAATTACATGCAGCTAATTCATCTTTAGTCCACAGTGATATGTCAGTAAGGTTAATTGTTCCTGATACGGTAGTAGATGGAGGTTTCCAACCATTTTGAACGCTAATCCAAACATGCTCATCTAAGGACTTAAGGAACGCACGCATTCTAACCTTCCAATATGCATAATTACTTCCGTCGAAAAATGGAGGTACAGACAGTGATTGACTCATCTAGACAACTATGGGTCAGGACTCGAGATTAGGCTCTGATACCACTTGAAAAACCTATCGTTCGACCCAACTAACACTTAGAGGGGGTGAATAAGTGTTCTTGCGGAATTAAAAACTTTTTGAATAATTCATGCAACAAGTCACACAAATTATAATTTGTCCAGATTAATTCACGTGCTTTATCTACCTATGTTGGATTACCATTGACAAGTAAATAAATTAAAGTGGTAAAAACACAATAAACATGTTGACGGAGAAACCCAACTGGGTAAAAACTCCGGGCACAAGCCAGTAGAGACTCACTATTGTAGAAACCAGCTTACAGCACGCCAGGCATAATTGACACTCTCAATTTTCTAACCTCCTTGCTGTATGAACTCAAGACCCTTCTGGATTTTGCAGATCCGTGCTAAATCCCAGCATTGTATAATTTCTACCTCCCGTGAATCGCCACGCACTCCAGCTCTTCAAGCAAATCCTTCCCGGATCTTCAAACTGATGATCTTCTGGAAGTTTAATTGGAGTTGTGAGACAGGTGTTTTGGTGTTTATGGATTTGATGTTTTTACTCAACAAGCCAAGGATTGGTATGAGAACAATGAAGGATTTCTTTGGCTTTTGATCCTTGGAGAGAATGGTTTTGATTTTTGGTTGCCAAGGAATTGAAAGAATATTCAAAGTGTTTTCAATGTGAATTTTCGGGTTGATCAACACGAATGGGACGTTTGGTATATATAGAGGTTGATATATGGTAATGTGGAGCGTCAAACATTCGCGAGCGTTTAAAATTAGAATTGGCTAGGTAACACGGTCGCTCGAGCGAGGTACTGGCGAGCCTCGAGCGACGTACCTTTCGCTCGAGCGACGGCTTAGCGTGAGTCCAGCGAAGTTGGTTCTGCAATTGTGGCTCGAGCGAGGTCAAGGCGAGACTCTAGCGAAATCAAAGCGTCGCGTGCATCTTCGAGGCATCCCACACAACCCTAGACCTAGCCTATAAACTTTAGTAATTGCAACTCTAGTCCCTGAACTATTGGACATTGACAATTTGGTCCTTGACCTTACAATTTTGACAATTTGGCCCTCGGTCATAGATTTGCCAATTACATATTTTCCTAACAAATACCATACCTAGCTAATTATTCATAGAACTAAAGAACTTTTGAACAATTGAAAATTGAAAGCAGTTGAAGTAAATGGGCCGAAGAAATCGTAACACTAATTTAGTGCGTATGTCCTCATTAGCCATTAGGTGCAAGAAATGGTTCCAACTAAAATTGCGAAAATTTAAAATAAAAAATTGTGTGCAACTTTTGGCATCTAGTCTTCCGAGACCCGCATTAGGCGAACCAGTGTACAACCCAGACTTGGTAACATTTAGCTATTGGTCTAGCACAATTAGATCCACTAGGCATAAAAGATCAAGAAATTTTTTTGAATAGCACATGTACAGAAACTTTTTTTTGCACGGATAAGACACAATAGTAGGAGAGGTGGGTAAATTTTCTGCTTTTTTTATCATCACATAGGACCCGCACAATGTGAGATTTCTGATCAATTTTTGTGAAATAGTGTTCTGTACATACATAATTTTTGAATTTTTTGGGGGACCAATGCACTTTTTAGGTCAAAATGAAATTTATCTCTCACCAAAAAATTTCTTAAACATGTCGAGTCAGTCAAAATGATTGCAAAAATTGTTGAAGGATCATGTGTTACACCATATTTTAATCTAATTGGGCATTTGATATTGGCAAAATATCAATTGAATGAGAGAAAATGCCCAATGACATGTATAAAAATAAAATACAAACAATTATCCTTTTTTTTTTTTTTTGGTTGATGACATGTATATGTTGTATTTTTTGAAGGCTGCTATATTTTGATATGCAAAATTAATGAACAGATTTTATTAACACTGAAAAAAAAAATTGAAAAAAGAAAAAGAATGAACATTGCCAACTCCTTATCCTTTTTTATATTAGATTGGATGTTCTTTATGCAAAGTTGATGAGATTCTCGCAAATTTAATGTCTACATTGGCGACGGAGTAGAAAATTTTGTCACCTTTGTCTAAATTGATGAGAATACTTAGATGGTTCCAAATAGTGATAGAGTCAGGATTGGACTAAAAAATCTTTTTCGTCAAGCTGATATGTAAAAAGAAAAATTGCGCATAATTTTTTTCTTTTTTTAACCTAATAAAAAGTTGTTTTGCAAGGAAAAAAAATGAATTGGAGCCCAGGCCAACATACCTTAAATCCGCCCCTGTTTCCAAATTCATACAAAATAGAAGAAAGATAATTCAAAAAAGGAGTATATTTGGAAGATATGACAAAACATTTCAAAGAATGGAATTTACTTAGGAAAAGAAAAAGTGATGGACTCATTTCACTGATAATTCTAATTCGATATAAAGTTAGGTGTAACACTAGTACAAAATCCTAACTTATCAGCAGTGCCTCCTGATTTGATTTTACACATCTAACATGACAGTTAATAAGAAGAATGCTACAGATACAAAAAATCTTTAAATCACAGGGAGACATTTGTCCCCTGTTGAAAAGCTGTTAAAGATTTCTTGTACGTGCAATTTTATACCGATTAACAATAACTTGATATTTATTCATATTTCATTATTGGAAATTGACATTTCAATTTTGAACAATGTACCCTTGGCACTACATGAGCCTTTGATACGATGGACTAAATTGAATTAAATGAGGGTGCTAATATATTATAAAATAATAAGTCTTATTACTTAAGTTGTCTATTTTATATACCAAACATAACTTAAAATAAAATTAGCCCTTGAACCCCATTATTTTCATCAAAATATATTTTTCAACAATGATTTGACCTCATTTAAATCATACATTCTTCATTAAAATAATATCACATGCAAATTCAGAACTTTTCTTTATATTTTAATAACATATTTTCTATCAATACACTATTCAAAAATGTATATATATGTATTTTTTTTTTGGCAAGAATGAGGCTCAAACAAGGAAAAGTAATTGAACATAAATTCTTAGTCAAACTAAGAGTGATTGGCTAAGCTTAACATAGTTACTTTTGTACATTTACATATTCTTCTAGAGTAGGATTATACATGACTTAACACATTTCAATGAAGCAGACTACATGTACAGGGGAAAATTTTACAGAAGTGTTGTAAATTATACACAACAATGGATGGGTGGTTTATTTTATGCAATAAAATATTCATATGTAGCCCACTCCAATGTGGGAACCCTTTAGAACTTCTGTGAATTTATTTCCTATACACGGGGAATAGTACCATTTCAATTAGTCCCTTGAAATTATAATATAAACAATATATAGATGAAAAAATAGTAGGTGTATAGATAGCTTTTTAATCCACATCTAGGAGTTGAATCATTTAACTAAATATTACTATAAATGGTAGGTCCATGGAATAATTAGCCGAAATTTTTGAACTTAAGAAAGTATTTTAGTGCAATCATGCTAAAGCGGCATTCTTTCACATAAAATTTGACATAATGACACGTGGCATTATATTATTGGATCGTTTCAAACAAATCAGCTTTCTTATCAAATCATCTTCTGTCACCTCAAATTATGTCAAAGCATCTGTTAAAGCTTTCAGGCAAAACCCATTTTAGTATTACTAAAGCACCTAAAAAGGGAATTACTTTTATCATATACGAGTTTGAGTATTAACTAACTGTACGTTATAAAATGTTTTCATATAATATCAATTTTGGACATTGGTACATTGGATCTAGGATGAATATATAAGTCAAGTAACAATGATTGGAAGGTGAAAAGCACGTGTTATGTATGAGACGTGAGGATGGGACGATATTCGATGTGAGCAAAAGATGAAAAAGTTGGAAATTGCTTGGCCGGATCACCAATGGGGACCGTTCATATCTTTTGGCATTGGCAGCCTCCCACCTTTTCTTGGGGCTGCCAACGCTCTTCATGTGTTCCAACTCATGTTTCAAATTCAAATAATTTTTCGTTTTCTATTGATAATTCAATTCCAAAAGACATCTTTGAATGATTGTGACTTTTGGGGAGAGTTGTAAACAAATCTATATATAGATTAATAGTTGCTTTGATCATTACACACGAGTTGAAGTACTTTTAGTTTCTCTTATCCTCCTCCATCATATAAATTGGTTTTTGTTCACTATTTTTCAATTCTTGTTCTTACTTTGAACTTCTATATACTGCAAAATCGAAGTGCAAAGATTTTCATATAAGCTATTATACATCTTGGTGTTCGGTTTGTTGTAAGTTAGTATATAAAAGCCAAGAAAAAATCCATTCAATTCTATTGTATCTTGTAGGCTTAAATGGATCCGTGTAGACACATTTGTAAGGAGCAAATAATTGTAGAGTCGTTGTTACAAGCCATCGCAAAGGAATATCTTCACCAATAAGGTAAACAATATTTGATTCGACTTGATAATGACCTTTCTATCTCTAAATTGGTGCCGGCAAAAAGAACATAAACTTGCACAAACAATACATTCAAATAAAAAGATAAACTTTAAAATTTGTTTTGTGTAAATTTTAAGCGATTCGAGTTTATAAGAATATTTTGATCTTTGATCCTCTGTATAAAAAGTTAGAAGAAAAACGAATAGATCAAAATTAAAATAATGAATTGTTAATATTCAAATTTTGTTACTTCAACTAATAATAAATATAATAGAGTGATGAAAGAATAATTCGTACAAGTGGCTTTAAAATTATTAAGAAAACAAAATTATGATTGATTTTATATTGCTCATATGTAGCCAGGCCTCCACGCCGATATTCTCCTTGGGAAAAAGATGGGTCAAATAAAGTATTTGGTCTGATACTTTGCCTTCTTTCAACAAAGCCCCTTTCTGTCTTTTCGTTTTGAAAAGTGAACTAATCCAATGTATTTTGAGGGGA